TACTGGGAGGGGGTGCGGGACCCACTGGGAGTGATTTTTAGGCTTACTGGTTTATACTGGTTTGTACTGGTTTATACTGGGAGGGTTGCAGGACCCACTGGGAGTGATTTTGGGCTTACTGGTTTCTACTGGTTTATACTGGTTTGGACTGGGAGGGAGTGCGGGACCCACTGGGAGTGATTTTGGGGTTACTGGTTTATACTGGTTTATACTGGGAGGGGTGCAGGAGTCACTGGGAGTGATTTTGGGGTTACTGGTTTGTACTGGTTTATACTGGGAGGGGTGCAGGAGTCACTGGGAGTGATTTTGGGGTTACTGGTTTATACTGGTTTGGACTGGGAGGGTTGCAGGACCCACTGGGAGTGATTTTGGGGCTTACTGGTTTCTACTGGTTTATACTGGGAGGGGTGCAGGAGTCACTGGGAGTGATTTTTAGGCTTACTGGTTTATACTGGTTTGGACTGGTTTGGACTGGGAGGGGTGCAGGACCCACTGGGAGTGATTTTGGGGTTTACTGGTTTATACTGGTTTATACTGGTTTATACTGGTTTATACTGGGAGGGACTGCAGGACCCACTGGGAGTGATTTTGAGGCTTACTGGTTTATACTGGTTTCTACTGGTTTATACTGGGAGGGAGTGCGGGAGACGCTGGGAGTGATTTTGGGGCTTACTGGTTTATACTGGTTTCTACTGGTTTATACTGGGAGGGAGTGCGGGAGCCACTGGGAGTGATTTTGGGCTTACTGGTTTATACTGGTTTATACTGGTTCCTACTGGTTCCTACTGGTTTATACTGATTTATACTGGTTTCTACTGGTTCCTACTGGTCCATACTGGTTTATACTGGTTTATACTGGTCCATACTGGTTCATACTGGTTTCTACTGATTTATGCTGGTTTCTACTGGTCTATACTGGTTTCTACTGGTTCATACTGGTTTTTACTGGTTTCTACTGTTTCATACTGGTTTATACTGGTTCCTACTGGTTCCTACTGGTTTATACTGATTTATACTGGTTTCTACTGGTTTCTACTGGTCCATACTGGTTTCTACTGGTTCATACCGGTCCATACTGGTTCATACTGGTTTATACTGATTTATACTGGTCCATACTGGTTCATACTGGTTTCTACTGATTTATACTGGTTCCTACTAGTTTATACTGATTTATACTGATTTATTCTGGTCCATACTGGTTTATACTGGTCCATACTGGCCCACACCGGTTTCCCGTTGGCCCCGCCCCCAGGCTCTGACGTCACTTCCTCTGGCGGAGCGAATGGCCCTGGTGACCCACCTGGACCTGGCCGGGAACCTCCTGCGGAGCCTCCCCCGGAATTTGGGGGCCCTTCGGCGCCTCCGGGTGAGGGAACCCCCCGAAAACCCACTTCCTGCCAAATAGTGAGCCAAAAACCCACTTCCTGCCAAATAGTGAGCCAAAACCCCACTTCCTGCCAAATAGTGAGCCCAAAACCCACTTCCTGCCAAATAGTGAGCCAAAAACCCACTTCCTGCCAAATAGTGAGCCCAAAAAGCCACTTCCTGCCAAATAGTGAGCCAAAAACCCACTTCCTGCCAAATAGTGAGCCCCAAATCCACTTCCTGCCAAATAGTGACCCCAGAGGCCACTTCCTGCCAAATAGTGAGCCTGAAAACGCACTTCCTGCCAAATAGTGACCCCAAAATCCACTTCCTGCCAAATAGTGAGCCCAAAAGCCCACTTCCTGCCAAATAGTGAGCCCAAAATCCACTTCCTGCCAAATAGTGAGCCCAAAAACCCACTTCCTGCCACATAGTGAGCCAAAAACCCACTTCCTGCCAAATAGTGA